CCCTACATATATACCCGACATATACCAGAACAAAACAATGTTATGTAACCAGGCATATAACCCTAACATATATACCATATATATAACCGTTATATATTCTATCATAAAACCTAACAAATATACTAATTCACAGTGAACACAAGATAGAAAAAACATTTCAAAAAAAGCAACAGATATACACTTTGATATTATAACAATTAGGATTTTTCTATCACCAACAAACCGTAATGATGGTATATGTATTGTATATGTTTTCCATGATTTTACTAAATATCAACCATACATATACCGAAGATATACGGAATATTAACCATACATATAACGAAGATATACCGAAGATATACTGTACATATACTGTACATATACTCCAAAATAAATCAAACGAAACAAAATCTCAAAAAAGTTGTCATGATTTTTTTCTTCTTCACGGCCTCGGGTGTTTTGACCTCGCTCAGCCTCTTCGTCTTCTTCTTCGCTAATTTCAATTTCAAACTTGAACTAATTAACATCTACGCCACACGTAACCATCACCGAGGATTTCCATCCGCGAGTCACCGAACACGCGAGGCCTGCAACCACCACGAACCACCGAGTTTCCGCCGCCCTTGGCTGAAGTTCACCGTCTGACGACCCCGTCACTCACGAACCGAAAGAAAGATGAAAATTTCCGACATGATTGTCTAATAGCGGCCTTGTTGCAGGATTGCTTTCAAGTATATCGGGAAATTTTTGTCTTCGCCATTGAAGGAGAGGTTTTTTGCAGGGAGAGGGAGATGAACGTGGGGCGCTGGGGTAGTTTTGGAGAGAGAAAGAGATATTATTGCTGAGAGAAAACTTCTCCTTAATTAGTTCACTTAAATTAAACCGTCATTTAGGTATATTAGCATTATTTTAGGTTGATTTTACTAAAATTATAAATATTATTATATTAGGTATATAATTATAATATAGTTAGAATCTTGAAGTACGGGGTGTAAATTCCTCAAAAATGAATGGCCAAGGAATTTGACCTTCGTTCCCAAGGATAGAAAACCATCCGGCGTGTTTGTAATTTTTAAATAAGTCGAACCAAGAGGCTGAATTCATTTTATATCGCGACGTGGCTGTGTTTGCTTGTGCACATGTTTGCAGGAGAGCACATACTACATTGCTCCAGAAGTATTGAGGATAAACTATGGCCCAGAGGTCAATATATGGAGTGTTGGTGTCATGCTCTATATTCTTCTATGTGGTGTTCCTCCTTCCTGGGCCATATATTCTTCTCATTCACATTTGTGTGTAAAATTTCCTTCGCACTGGGGCAAAATGTACTCATCAGTATCTAATACAAGATCAGAACGGGCATTTTCAATGCTATATTAAGGGGACACGTCGACTTCTCTTCCGATCCATGGCAATTTCGAGCTGAGGAAAGCTCGTGAGGAAGATGCTCAACTCGAACCCCAAGCAGAGGCTCAGAGCTGCTCAAGTTCTAAGTATGTAATAATAATCTTTGACAACATACATAAATTCATTGCATAAATTATATAGAATCTAATATTTGTTATATGTAGGTCACCCATGGATCAAGGAGGATCGACAAGCACATGATACACCACTTAACAATGCCGTCCAGAACAGGCTCAAATAGTTCAGGGCTATGAATCAGTTCAAGAAAGTCGCTCTTCGGGTAAGCAAAACTTCTAGCTTATAAATCAAGCCAAACCTCATATTTCGCTTTTAATAGTTCTCCCAATAGATAAATTTAAAAAAACTTGTACTTTTATCTAATCTTGATTTGATTCGTCATAACAAAGTCATAGTCAGTTGCCTGTCAGAGGAAGAAATCATGGGACTTAGATGTTCAAAGGCATGGACACCGACAACAGCGGCACCATAACCCTTGAGGAGCTAAAGCAAGCGCTTGCCAAGCAAGGCACAAAGCTATCTGAAACAGAAGTCAAACTCATGGAAAAAGTAAATTTTCAACAAAACAATATCCTATAAGAAGATTACATCTCAACGTGAAAAAATAATTCCGTATTTTCTTCACTAAATTGCACAATATATCAGGCTGATGCTGATGGGAATGGGACTATAGACTATGAAGAATTCATCACGGCAACAATGCACATGAACAGAATCGACAGGGAAGAGCATTTCTACACGGCCTTCCAGTATTTCGACAAAGATAATAGCGGGTATTGAACATTATGGCAGCACATTACAGGGATATTCAAGAAAATAGAAGTTTAATGTTTATTATGCTTGGTCAAACTACTCTAGGCACTTAATTATTAGTTTTCCCCTCTGGTGAGGTACATCACGATAGAAGAGATAGAACAAGCGCTCAGAGACTTTGGCATGGGTGATGACAAGGACATTAAAGAAATCAGCTCTGAATCCAATGCCAATAATGTAAGCAAAACAACTCATTCCGTTATTCTATAATATATATTTATGTCAAAACCCAATCCAAAAGGATTAATTTATGCACCGATAAAATGTCAAGTACATGCAAGATGGCCGGATCACTTATGATGAATTTGCAGCCATGATGAAGAAAGGTAACCAAAAAACAGTAGCGAACACCAAGAAAAGGAGAGAGGGTGTCTTCGCTTCCTAGTATGTGGAAAAGGCCAACAAGAGGAGAAGATGAACTGTGTGTTATTATATACGAATTTAAGTAAAATCTCAAATTGTTTGGGGCAGCAGGAAGCGAACTGTTCTGTAGATCTCAAAAGTACTTATGCGATAGCTTCATGTATAAATAAATGTAGCTCATAAATTTATACACATCTATATAAATCGTGTACTTTAGAATTTTCCAGAAGTGTGAAAACTACAGGAAAAATGTCTAAAGTTTGTTTTAGTAAATCAATAACAAATGTAGAGATAGATATAGCTGCATTTTTATGTTGTGCAGTGACCCCATATGACATATTTATATATATCCACCATTTTCATCCTTCTTAGAAAACAAATTGTTCGGTCTCTCTCCGTTCACCCTTAACTAAAATATAGATATCATGCAAAATTAAATGCACACATATACAAGAATACAACAACATAGGACGAGAACTTGTTCTTTATGAAGATAAACTGAAGATACTTAAAATGTTTTAAGAAACTAATCAAAAGTAGCACTCAACAAAGATAGCAGCACATAACACTAAAATGAATAATTTTTCATGTTCTGTAGTGTATATAACTCTCAACTACGCAAGCAGGCCTGTCAGCCACATGCGATGATGTTAGTAATCTAAAACTAGGAAAATTAAATGACACTATGAAGAGCATATATTACATTATGCCCAAGTTAACCAAGTAACCTAGAATTTTGAATCGAAGATGACAACCTTATGATTAAATGCTTTAGTCACTCGTTAACATAAATATGGTAGATAGTGACAAGTTTGAGAGTTTGCAACGATCAGAATTGAACCAACAACAAATAGCACACATCTCAAATTCCACATTCTAACTTCCTGTAAACTCATCAACACATAAGTACCATGAAAATATAACGAATAAGCGAAAAACTAAACATTTCAACATATATTAATTCCAAAAAACTTGCATTTACTTCAAAGATCAGAATTTTTACGTCTCACATATATCCACTGGGAAGAAGACAACCAAACCAATATTTTTCATGCTCATATAATCCTAACCGCCTCAGAGCACAACAAAAACTACTTATCTTTGGAAGCAGGCGTGCCGATCCCGTATTTCTCCTGGAGCTTCTGAATCTCCTCCTCCTTCTTCCTCTGGTCAAATTTCTTGCCCATCTTCGCCTGCTGATAGTACAAGACGATAAGGTACCTATTGGCCACGTTGAAGCCCGAGAGGTGGTCGACGGCGGTCTTGGCGTCGTAGATATCCTCGTACACCACGAAGGCGGTGCCGCGCGTGTCCTTGTTGGTGCCGATGCGGATCTGACGTATGGCGCCGTACTTCCCGAATATGTCGTACATCTCCTCGCTCGTTATGTTGAACGGAAGGTTACGGACGTACAGTACACGGTTGACCTCCGGCGGGAGGCGGGTGTTGCTCTTGCGGAGGCTGAGTGCGGCCATTGCCAGAGAATTTGTGATGTTTTCTGAGTTTTTAGGGCTGTGATTTGTTAATTTGGCGATTTGGAGATTTTATTTTCAATATTATTTAATATTATTTATGTTCAAACGGGTTACTTGTGAAGGCCATCTCCAGCCCTTATCTCTACTCTAGCACGACTTTACTCTACTCTAGAGTAGAGTTAAGCATTCTTCTCCAACCCTTATCTCTACATTTTACTCTACATCAAATATATTATTTTTTGTTCTTTTTTAATTCAAACAAAGTAATTATATTTATATATATATTTAATATTATATAAATACTTATTACAAAAATAATAAAAATATATATTTTATTTATGTATATTTAATTTTATAAAAATATGTATTACTCTAAAAAAAAATATATAAAAATACAAAATTATTTAACATAAAAAAATATATTACACAACTTTTAATTTAACATAAAAATATATTTATTAATCCACATTATAAAAAATATATCATTAATATTACAAATACATAAAAAAAAACAACAACAAAAAAAAATGGAGTTGTGAATAGTGCAGCGCTACAATTGGCGCAACACTGTTCACATCACTGAAGTAGCGCGGCTTTGTGGCGCAGGGCTGGAGTAAAATGTGGCGTTACTCTTGAGAGATAACGCCACACTGGAGAGGCTCTGAGCTAAACAATGGGCCGAAAAAAAGTATGGACGCGACCATATGAAAGTGACAAAAATTCTATGGAGCAATCGTATTGTTTTTTTATGGAGCCATCCATCGATTAATATATTGACACAAGTCCAAATTTTAGTTATTGTATGACACGTGTCAATACACTATTGGTGAATAAGTGTGGATTGCTCCATAAACCGAGCCATCCGATGGCTCCATAGCAAAACTGATGAAAGTGATACCAATTCTTGAGAGATTCGACGGATTTTAACAAAAGTTTTAAATGTTTATATTTACATAGAAAATATTTATTTAATTTAAATAGATATATAACTCTAAACCCATGTAATTCACATTCCCGTCTCTTGCGATTTTCTCCCCAAATAAACCCTAGCCTCGTCGCCTCAAATTCTCAGCAAGTTGACCTCCTCCGGCGTTGGCGAGGCCGGGCCGGCGGTCGCCTCGACTGCCTGGCTTGTCCCTGAAGCCGTTCTCTCTCTTCTCAGGTTGTGATTGGTGGCATCGTCGGCTTCGACCAAGGCTTCTGGCGGGCTGATTTCGCGGGTCCTCTCCCTCGAGCGGGGTTCGGTGGCTTGCTGGTTCTTGGAGCAGGCGGCTGCCTCTGGTGTGGGTGAGTCGATCTCTCGTCCTTGGCAGTTCAGCTCATTGGTGCCTCCCCTGGGTCATTTGCAGGGGGCGACTCCGTTGGAGTTTTGGAGTCGGGTTGTCGTCAGTTGTGGTGGCGAAGGAATGGCGGTGATCAGTGGATGGGAAGGGCTCCGGTGGCCTGTGTTGGTGCTGCCGGAGTAGGGTCTCAGGCTTCGAGCTGGTCCTTCTCTCCGGCTCTGCTGTTGTTTGGTCGGACTCCGATGACCCCGAGTAGCCTAGTGGTGTTAGGTTCGCTTGGGGTGTGTCGGTTTGGGGTTGCTCGTCTGCTTGTACCCTCGGTTGGTGGCAGATTGGCTCGTAGTTTGGTTCGGGGCAAGGGTTCGGTTTCTGTATAGGCTTAAATGCAGTTTCGGGAGCTGTTCCTTGGCAAGGGGCCGAGCTGTGATCTGGTTGCCGCTCGTTCGGGATCGTCTTTCTTTGGGGGAGGATGTGGTAGTTTAGATGTTTGTGTTTTTATTTTTCGTTGTGTTTTTTGCTTGTTGCTGTTTTTTTGTCTTCGTGATTGGTGTTGGTTTAGTATCGTTTCTTTAGTTTGGGTCATTTGGCCCCTGTGAGAGGGATTACTCCGTTGGAGTCGTTCCACATTACGTCGTTTGGAGTCGTTCCACATCACCTCGTTGGAGGTCGTTCCATAGTTAGGGCTTTGTGTTGTATTGTGTTGTTGGAGTTTCTTTTCTAGCGTTGCTAGTCGGGTTCTAGGCGGTCTTATGACCTGTCCTCCCAGTTTTTTTCAGTTGTTGGCTGTATTATTCAGCTAGGGGCTGTGTACTTTGCACGTTTGTGCGTTTTTGTTATATAATATTTCCTATCGTTTCGGAAAAAAAATAGATATATAAGTATAATTAAATTATATTAATAAAACAGTATAGCTTAAAATTGTATGAAAAAATAATGACACATTGCAAATAATTTTGTTATATATAAAAAATATGCTTCTATATGTTTGAAATAATAATGACATATTGTAAATATTTTTTTTTATATATAAAACTAATGCATTCTCTTAAAAAAAATAATAACAATAAAAAATTTAATATGACAAGTAATTTTAAAATAAAATAGGTAACTGAGTATCATAAAATGAATATAATGAAACTAGTTTTTCGTATAATAAAAGTAGATGTCTTGTTGCAAGGGCACATCTAGAAAATTTATTGAGTGTGGGCCAAAATCTAATTAAAGAGTCAACAAGAATTCAAATGAAAATATCATTTTGACAAATTTTAACCTTTTCATATGTGGACGATGTTCAATGCGAACAATATATATTAATTTCCAAACATATAATTGCCCTCCAAAATATTTTATAACCAACATCTACAAAACTAGAAAATTTATTGAAGTATTGATGTGTATTCAATTCTCACGTAAATTTGAAAACGAATTCCAATTGGCAATTTAGATGCAATGAATTAATATATTCAGAAAAAAAAATAAAAACGGCATAATTTTGTTCCTATATATGAACAATAACTATTACTCCCTAATAAGAACATGTACCTATTTTAAAAATTAATGACAGAAAAATATATTTAGAAAAAAAAAAGTTAAAAAGGGCATAATTTTGTTCCTATATATGAACAATAACTATTACTCCCTAATAAGATATGTACCTATTTTAAAAATTAATAAAAAAATATAATAGATAATATCGATAATTAAATTAACCAAATATGAACAATAAAAATTGCATAAGAAAGCAAATAATAGAAAAACAAGGAAAAAAAAAACAAAAAAGACGAGTATAAGTACTACAAAAGTATATAATAATTATGAATGAATTGCTTTTGTTATTTTTATTTATTCAGTTGACATTCAAATCAACTAAATAAATCCAATTATACTCGTTTGAACACTTTGGATGACCGTTTATATATCCAACATTCTTAAGGCTATTAAATATATTATTTATCCAAAATTTCTAGTGTGGGCCTAGGCCTACACTAGTCTCTATGTGCATCCGCCCCTGTCTTGTTGTGCAACGCACAACCGACTCTAATTTAGTTTCCATTAAGCTTAGAATTAATTTTAAATACTTATATTTATTATTGGTTTAAATAACTAAACGTAGGTGTTATTAAGAAGTTTTGTTTAATGTGGCCAGAATTTAAAATGTCAGATTGGAAGCGATGAGCCTTGTTGTGAGTTGTTATTACTTCTATGTCATCACAATAATTTAAACGAGTTATAGCTGTTGAAAATTCTTGTACTCAGAATAACATGAAAGACCCATAACAAAATTGCAAACTAAAATTAAGACATGGCCAAAGCTAATGTAGCAAACATAACACCAACCGCATTTTTTGTATAGAAGTTCGAATCATATTGGAAACATTATTGTCTAACTCACCAAATATTTGGTAAATAAATTAGATGAAGTTGTCTGCACTATTTTTAACTCTTATCTTCGTTCACTTTGTATGTCACATAGTTTATAATATTTTCATATTGATAGAAGCAACGCGAACAATTTATGATAGAGGGGTTTGAGAAATTTAAGAACTATATAAGGAATCGATAAAAAAACCAATTCCAAATTTTCTTTCTTATAGTGAAATATTAAGTTTCGCAAAAGTTCGACAAACTAAGATCCTTTTTAAATTTTCTTTCATATAATGAAATATTTAGTTTGGCAAAAGTTCGACAAACTAAGATATTGGTATTTTGTTGCTACGACAAGCAAAACAAATTAAAGGGAAAAATTCATATTCTTTCGTGTATTTATTTAGTTACTTATATAATAGGTACTGGATTTATTTATTATAGTAAGTATTAGATAGGAATATCTAGTACTCCCTCCGTTTCAAATTATAAGTCGCTTTGAATTTTTCGGTACATCCACTTTGCTATGTATCTAGATAATAATATGTCTAGATACGTAGCAAATTTGATGAATCAAAAAAGTCAAAACGACTTATAATTTGAAATGGAGGGAGTAGTGTATTAGTTATATTCTTTTACCATATTAGATATATGCATTGACATAATAAACTGTCTAATAATTGTAGGTAACGGATGCATGATGTATCTAGACGAGGAAGAGTTGATCGCATATAAGGATCTTGCATTTAACTTGGAGAAGATCGAGGGCAAGATATGAAGTTGATGAAGATCTTGAATGAGATTTGAAGAATCAAGGAAACTGGGAAACTTTGTTCCTGCAAATAGTGATAAAAGATTCTAAAGATCTTTAATCGAAGAAGCCGAACTACTTAGAAAGGAAATCAACCCACATGTAAGGGCATTGAAGACATGGGAATGCGAAGATTTATTTTTCATCTTAAAATCTTATATGCTTTGACGAAGGCTCAGAGATATGGCTGGGGCAATCACGATTATCATTAAGTATGGAACAAATGAAATGTTTCTCGTTCCAGGTCGCGAACAGAAGGTCGAAGGTTGGGTTGCGAGCTGGCTGAGGATATGTGATTGGGCAAGCCAAAGTGTGCGCAGAGGAGTGTGAGGTTAAATATAAATAAAATAACCTTTCCACTTGGGGACATTAGTGGGTTTATCAGCCACAAAGTGGGTTTGGTTGCGAGCAGATACGTAGAGACCTCTCCACTGGTACTTAGCAAAGAAACAATAGAAGAAAAAATCTAGATCGACATGACCCATACTACAAAAAGATAGAATGCAAAAATAGATGAGAGTACGAATAAATTTCGGGGAGAG